TTATCATTTTCTTGAGTAGGAATCCATCACAGCTCCTTCATCTCAGCCATCTTCAGAAGCTCATCCAGGGCAAATAAATCCAACTATAAGAACATAGCTAGATCTCTCAAGCGACCTCTCAACATAAGGAATCAAGGTCCTCACGGGAGGAATAATGACAGTCCCTAATGAACTTGATGCTCCAACAACGAAATCCTCCACAAATGAAAAGGTGGGAGGAATCAATCTGAAAGCATCGAAGCCATTGCCTCCAATAGTAAGCTCAAGAGATGTGTTTTGCACTGGAGTTGAGATCGAACTCACTAGCAAAGAGATGAGGAAAAAACGTTAAAAATAGGCTATGAACTTCAGTCTAACGTCATCCTTGTGTCCCATAATTCGGGTTGGACCCGAAACCGGCCCATTGACCAGTTTTGACAACCCTATAGCCAATATGGTTTCATTAAAAATAGAATCTCCACAGACAAAATCTTATTTAGGGGTGTCAAAATCGGTTAATAGGTTGGGTTTAGATCTAACCCGAATTGACCCGGGTCCAAACGAGTTGACCCTAATCCGACCCGATTTTGCAAACGAGTCAAGAATTTCAACTTGGACCTAATCATCGCGGGTTACCGGATTGACCCGACACGACCCACAAACCTGGACGCAAATGCATGAGCTGGAACCAACTCCAATAGCCAAGGAGGTGGATGCCTGACGTTGGCAATGATGTTGCAATCAAGGGATTCACTGTATGTTTCAAACTATTAATGAAGCTTGTGCTTGACCCGACTCTTCCGATCGATGATTTCAACAAAGAGGCTGCAGGGTCGACTGGTCAAGCTGCGAGCTGGCTATTGTGGGTGAGCGCAGGGAGGCGGGTCATAGGTTCGGGATGCGAGGCCGATACCATACTAGACACTTCATAACCTATTTTCAATGTTTTTGCCTTATTTCTTCTCTAGTGAGTTCCATCTCAACTCCAGTGCAAAACTCATCTCTTGAGCTTGTTGTTGGAGGCAATGGCTTCGGTGCTTTCGGATCAGTTCCTCCCACCTTTTCATCTGTGTCAAATTTCATTGCTGGAACATCGAGCCCATTAGGGATCTTTATTACTCCTCCCGTGAGGCCTTCGATTCCTTCTGTTGATAGGTTGCTTGAGAGATCTATGTTCTTAGAGTTGGCTTTGTCTATCATGGATGAGCTTCTGAATATGGTTGAGATGTGGGAGCCGCTATGGATTTCTACTCAAGAAAATTGTTAAGAGACTTTGAACTGTGAACATTATGAGTAGTTGCTACCTTGTTGTATTGGTGTGAAGGAAGTTAGTTTGATTTCAATCCAGACGCGTGGGAGCGAGGTCGAGGCTGGACCACCAGACATTTGACACAACTCGGGACCAGACTCGGAACACCCGATGCACGCAGGTCAAAATTTGGTTGATTTAGGATTTCCGAATCAACCAGAACCCGATTCTATTTATAAATGTGTTGGAAAATAAAACTAGAATTTGAATTTCCTGATCTAATTTTGGATAGGGTTAATATTTAACACCCCTAACCATCGGTTTGTGGGAGAGAAATTTAAGTAATTGAAAAACTATTTAAATTAAAATCCTATTGTCAGTTTTAAATAGTTTTATTTTTTAGATGATATTTATCATTTTTTATTGATTTGATTAAATTTTTTTTATTATTTTAATAATCTTATTAAAAAAATATTTTTTAACGATTAATCTGTTAACATAATAGTGCTCATCCGTCTTTCATCATGCAATGAGGTAACGACTGGGAGGGTTTTTTTTTTTTCGTGATAATAATTATCGCGCTTTGTTAGTTTAATATTTATCAGATATTATTGTTGAATCTTTTAAAAAATATATATAATGCTTATAATAGTTTTAAATTTTTTTTTTTCACAAAATAGATTTTCAATTATTTTTATAAATGTATAATAAAAATTTTTACGGAAAAAATAATAGTAAAAAAATGAGTTGTAAAAATTATTAAAAAAAAGGCAGACCGTTCAATTATTGAGTGATTCAGCCTCTCAATTTTTTTTATCCTTCCCCTCTCACTTTTAAGTATGACCATTTCTCTCTCGTCAAACTCTTTCACGATCTACCGCTCTTTTTCTTTGAGCAATAATTAATTAATTATAGATTTTTCAAATAAGTTTAAATATAAATATTTAGTAACATCAAAAAAATAAATTCATACAAAATTATAATAATACTCTAGAGTTACAAAGCTTAAAAGAATTCATGATAGATTTGTCAAATATAAAAAAAAAATAACGGTTTGATCTCACGGGAATGATTCTTCAACTATGATTCCATGCTTTATTGTTGATGAGACGGAGCTTCCACCTTCACCAATGAGAAGAGCATCCGAATTTTGTTGGGAAGGATATAGAATGAATTAGGGGTGTCAATTTTGGGTCACAGGTCGGGTTCGGGTCGAATCCGGAACTGATCCGGGTTCAATCGGGTCGACCCTAACCCGACCCAGGTAGGTAAACGGGTCGAAAATACGGACCCGGATCCGACCCGTTTGGTTGTCGGGTTGACCCGACCCGATACTTCCAACTCGCGCGCGAGGAAGGCAGGGCGGGTGCAGGCTCGTGCGTGCGGGGTCGCGGACAGCGCGCAGACATGCGGGCGCGATTCGCTAGCGGGCAGCGCGCAGGCGTGCGGGGTCGCGGGTAGCCGGGGCAGCCTCGGGCAGCTCATTCTAAGCGGGTTCACGGGTTGACCCGGCAACCCGCTGGGTCAACCCAAACCCGACTCGTTTTTCAAACGGGTCGAATCCGGGAACCCGAACCTGACCCGTTTTGAAATCGGGTCGGGTTCGGGTCGGGTTTTTGTGTCGTGACAAATATTGACACCCCTAGAATGAATCAATGGCAAACAAGGATGGCGATAAGATACATTCATGTTATGGTAAAGTTGTAATGCTTGCAACGAGTGATGGCGGTGCAAACTTCAGTGATAAAAAATTGCGTGGCTCGTAAACTAATTTATAGAGTCAAGGCTGGCTCATACTTTGCTCGATAGCTTATCTAGCTCTTCTTATAAGTCATTCAATGAGGTGAGCTCAAACATATTCATGAGGCAACTTGACTCACTAGTATCTTTAATATTATTTAAAATTTGGGCATATAAGAAATTAAAATATTTTAAAAAATAATCCCTTTTGATCATTTTGGTCTTATTGGTTGCAATAGTCAATGATGGAGGCTTTGAAAACACTTCTTTAAGAGATTTGAATTTTTGGACTTATTATTAGTGGAAAATTCTGATCAATAATTTTTAATACCCCTCCCTCAATAGTTGGAAATATTTGAATACTGCTAAATATTTATTTGGAAATTTCTATTTTCTTCCAACATTTATTCAATTGCTGAGTTTATTTGACCACCGCTAATGATTCAGCTGGAAATTTCTTCAGACATATATTAAAATAAAAAAAAAAAGTGATGGCGCTCTTAACGCAATTTTTAAATTTCTATATGAATTTGAAGACTCGAAGTTGCTTAAGAGATTTGAAAGAATAATTGTTTGAAAATTATAATTTATTTTTTTATCTACTAATATTTATATTTAAACTTATTCAGTTATTCGAAAGGTCTATAATTAATTAATTATTGCTCAGACAAAAAGGGCGTAGTAGTCGATGAGCGATATGGATGGAGATTGAGAGGGAGATAAAGAATAGCGGAGAGCTGTGCGAGAACCCTAGCCGCCACGCTCTTCTTCTTCTGCTCGATGAGAGAGGATGGGGCGATAGAAAGAAAAAAAAAAAAAGGCTAAGTCAATAATTGAACGGCCAGCCTTTTTTTTTTTAATAATTTTTACAACGCATTTTTTTACTATTATTTTATTATTCCAAAAAAATTGAGACGGTTTCTATCCATTCAATTGAAAATTTGTTTTGTGAAAATAAAAAATCTGAAATTATTATAAATATTATAATTAAAAGAAAGATTCAACTATAACTTTTATAACTATTATACTAATAAAGAGAGGACAATTAATATTACAAAATACAACTCATTTTGATCAGTTGATATTGAGAGTTTTGACTATAAATTAAAAAGTTTTGAACTCAAAATAAATGAATTTAAATTATATTTGAATTTGTCTTATTTGACTAAACAATTTTATAAAAATTACAACCACAAAAAAATTGATCCAAATAGTTGACTAATGAACGCTATTATACTAACAAATTTAGTGATTAAAAATACTTTTTATTATAAAATCACTAAAACTAATAAAATTTATAATCAAATCAATAAAAAATTTATAATAATTAAAAAAATAATAATAATAATAATTAAAAAATAAAATAATTAAAACTGTTCCAAATGGAATAATGTATCTTAATTTAAACAAATTTTAAATTATTAAAAATTTCTCTCCCTAAACGCATGGCTAATAGAAAAGTCGACGTGCTTTGACAGACGTCCAGATTCACTGAACTTGGATTATTTTGCCTATTCGATCGGCGAGAGAGATATAATGTGCTTCGGTGGGGCCAAGTAAGCAATTAATATTTGATATATTGGAAAGTCTGTAAGACTTCCAGCTTTCTTTTTGGCTTTTGTGATTTCTTTTTTTAAGCGTTATTATATTTTTGGAAATTAAGTGCTATTATATTAAGGCTATGCGGAGTTTGTCATTTTCTATAAATCTAATTAAATATGTATATTTAAAAAAAATTATACCATAATATTTAATAAAAAATAATTAGAAAAAAAAACCAAATTTAAAATTTCTTTTGATATATATATTTATATAATATTAAAAAATTAAATTTTATTTTAATTAAAATTATGATTTATTAAGAATTTTTAGTATTATTTATTTAATGTAAGAATATCCTTTTTAATATGTTTTATTTATTTATTTATTTATTTTGTCGTCATATCTATACTGGCATTTGAACTATTCAAATAAAGAGAGAGATTTTCTTCTATTTTCTGCGACTGCGAGAGCCATATTTAGCAAAGCGAATAAAGAAGAAGGGTTCAAATCTCCTAATCGAAGAAGTTCTTCCAAGCTAGTTTTGATAATTTCACAAGACTGAAATGAGGAGAACCATCAGAAGTGCTTCTACTGTTTATATGATGCAGAGAAAATCAGCCGCGCCTGCGTGTCTCATTCCTTCTGTAAGAGAATCACTAAAAGCTACAAAATGATAGCTTTATAAAATAGAAAACCAAAGAGGGAACTTTTTCTCTTCATTGAAGAAGGTTTAGTTGTCTGAGAAGTTTGACTTTTGAAGGCTCTAATGTCTGGCAATATGCATTAGCCACAAGTCTGCTTTTGATTTTTCTGTAAGTTTCTCCTCATTGAACCGCAAGCTTATTTTAGTGGCAAAGGTCAAATCCTAACTACCAAACCGTTGAATTTTTATTATTTTTTTACTTCAATGTGCCAATATAAGCTTGCTGTAAGGTTGTTAAGCATTAAACTACTACTTTTTTGCCTTTTGAAACGTATGGTATGAAAACAGCTAAAGCATATGACAAACTACAGTTTCGTTTGGGATGACTTTTTTTCTGTTTCTTAAAGTAAATTTTTAGTACAAAAATTAAAATTTTTGCAGTAGGAAGCTACTTTAAGAAACAATAAAAAAAGTCGTCACAAGCGAAGCTGTATCAGAAGAACTTCTTAGATTTGGAGATTTGACTAAACTATAGTCAAAGTCTTCTTTCTTGTGAAAAATTGATTGTATTATTAATATTCCAAAAACAGGCTTGCTCTTCCAGGTGAAGAGATCCGAAGATGGGGAATTCAATTCCTGATAATGATGAAAGCAGGGAGCTGGGAGATTGGCAGCCCAGGAACTTGCCAGCAGCTTATAAGGTCGGTGTCCCGCCCAGGAAGAATTTTGTGAATGAATTTACTGAGAGAGTAAAGGAAACTTTATTCCCGGATGATCCTTTGCGTGCTTACAAGAATCAACCAAAATCGAAGCAGTTTTTATTAGGACTTCAGTCTTTTTTCCCAATTCTCAGTTGGGTAAGAGAGTACAACCTCAAGAAGTTCAAAGGAGATTTAATTGCTGGATTTACAATTGCAAGCCTCTGTATTCCTCAGGTTTGTTTAGACTCAAAGCTATACTGCGTAAATTTTTTTATTATGTTGCGCCTAATATTGAGTTTTGTTTTCTTGAAATAGGATATTGGTTATGCTAAGCTTGCAAATTTGGATCCACAGTATGGGCTATGTAAGCATTTAGTAGTGCATATTTTCTTTCACAGTTGATAATATATTGCTAAGTTTCCACTGTATTGAATTTAAGTTCTTCCCTTTATTAGAAATTCATAGTATTTGTATTGTACTTTCTTTTTTGTTTCATTTTCTTGATTTTATATAGATATAGTTGTAACAATATTAAATTCATTCAAAGAAAGATGTCATGTAACCTTTATGATTTATGTCAGATTCCAGCTTTGTGCCGCCATTGGTTTATGCAGTTATGGGAAGCTCAAGAGATATCGCAATTGGTCCAGTGGCAGTTGTGTCTCTATTGCTTGGAAACCTTCTTCAGGATGAGTTTGATCCTAAGCTCAACAAAGAAGAATATCATAGACTGGCAGTTACTGCAACTTTTTTTGCAGGCGTGACTCAGGCAGCACTTGGATTCTTCAGGTGAAGTAATATAATTTTTACTTATGTATCTTCTTTTATCTCTTGTTCTAACGCTTCTTCTCTTCAGATTAGGATTCATAGTGGATTTCTTATCTCATGCCGCCATTGTGGGATTCATGGCTGGAGCAGCAATTACCATTGCCCTTCAACAGCTGAAAGGGTTTCTTGGCATTCAAAATTTTACAAAGGAAACAGATATTGTATCGGTTATGAAATCTGTGTGGGGTTCTGTTCATCATGGTGTAAGAAATATTAAATTGCCTTCACGATCTTTAGTGAAAAATAAAAAATAAAAAAAATTGTCCGAGCAATGATTTTAATTCATGTTTATGCTTGTTTGCAGTGGAATTGGGAGACAATAGTGATTGGGACAAGCTTCTTAGCATTTCTTCTACTTGCAAAATACATTGTAAGTTAACATATCGAAGATGCTGAACTCTCAATAAAAGCACTAAAATTGAAGTTAATGTGCAGGGAAAGAAGAACAGAAGTCTTTTCTGGGTACCAGCAATTGCGCCATTGATTTCTGTAATTTTGTCCACATTCTTTGTGTACATAACACGTGCTGATAAGCATGGAGTTCAGATTGTAAGTTCGAGGACATGAAAACTTCTTGGTGTTAGAAATTCATTAGCTTAACGAGTATTTACTGAAGATAATTATGATCTCGATCTATGCAAGGTGAGGAAAATAAAAAAAGGCATCAATCCATCATCTGTTCATGAACTTTACTTCAGTGGTCCAAACCTTGGTAAAGGAATCAAGATTGGTGTTGTTTCTGGGATGATTGCTCTGACTGTGAGTTCTAATAACTTGAACTAATTCAAAGTTCCAAAGCAAGATGATTTTGTTTTCATGGCCTCAAATAATTTAAGATTCTCAGGAAGCTACAGCCATAGGAAGAACATTTGCTGACATGAAGGGTTATCAGTTGGATGGAAACAAAGAAATGGTCGCCCTTGGAACTATGAACATTGTTGGATCCATGACTTCTTGCTTTGTAGCCACTGGTAATAAAAGAAATGCAAACTAATTGTATTTAAAAGTATCAAATGAAGAAGACGCTTTTTCCTTGTAGGTTCTTTCTCTCGATCTGCCGTCAACTACATGGCTGGATGTCAAACAGCTGTGTCAAATATTGTTATGTCAATTATAGTATTACTAACTTTGGAATTGATCACTCCGCTCTTCAAATACACTCCAAATGCAATTCTTGCGTCTATCATTATCAACGCAGTGATCGGCTTGATTGACTATGATGCGGCTATTCTGATCTGGAAGATAGATAAGTTTGATTTTATAGCTTGCATGGGAGCATTCTTTGGTGTCGTCTTTGATAGTGTTGAAATTGGACTTTTAATTGCAGTAAGGATTAAATTTTTCTTCATCTGTTAAGCTGTTTTTACAGAACATGGAAGACAATCATGCTCTGTTCTTCATATAGGTCTCAATATCATTTGCTAAGATTCTTTTACAAGTCACAAGGCCAAGAACCGCTTTACTTGGCAATCTTCCAAGGACTACTATCTACCGTAACATTCAACAATATCCTGAGGCAACTAAGGTTCCTGGAGTTCTTATTGTCAGAGTTGATTCTGCTATTTATTTCTCCAACTCCAACTATGTCAAGGAAAGGTGCAAACAACAAAATATTTTACAAACAAATATTCTGGCATATATAGCTATAAGAAAGTCCTGTTGGCTTTTTCAGAAAAGAAAAAAAAATCTATAATACTCCCAATAACTTCAAAAAAAAAAAATTATATTCATAGTTTTAGAACTATTTTACAAACAACTGGAAGTCGCTCAAATGGATCTTTAATAGTATAATCAGCTATATCTGGCTCCCATATGAGCCTACTCTAGGGATCAAAGAAGTTTTATAACAGGCTCTACTAACTAAAGCAATCTTCAAGCAATTGGCTACTGAAATTCTAAATTGCAGGATCCTTAGGTGGTTAAGAGAAGAGGAAGAAAAGCTGAAGGAGGACAGCCTACCTCGAATAAATTTCTTGATTGTTGAAATGTCTCGTAAGATTGAAATTCATCCTCTTCTATCTCAGCAAGGCATGTTAGCCACCAGTGCATAACACACTGACAATCCATTTCCTCTGCAGCTGTAACTGACATAGATACCAGTGGCATTCATGCCTTAGAGGATCTGTATAAGAACCTTAGCAAGAGAGAGATTCAGGTTGGCTATAAACTAATCTTTTCTTTTGAGCAAATAAGATGATTTCCTTTAGTGGTTCATTGCACACTGAAATCCCATGAAATTTCGTTTATGTTATGAAGCTCCTCCTTGCAAATCCCGGTCCAATCGTCATGGAAAAGCTCCAAGCCTCAGATTTTACAGAGTTGATAGGCCATGACAAGATCTTCTTGACAGTCGGCGAAGCTGCGATGAGTTGTGCTCCTAAAGTAATTGAAGAGGTTTGAAAGAAGAACCAAACGAACGTCATATGCTTGTTCTACAGAGAGAGGCAGGTAGGAGGAAGCATGACAGGAAGAGGCTGCCGTTGTGAATGTGATTAAAAAAGCATCGAGTGGGGTATCAATTGCATTTTATTTAGTTGCGCACTGATTAAAGTTTGTGGGTTTTGAGATTGAATCTACACCAAAAGTGTGAATAATGCCCGAACCCACCACACTTTGTGGAATGCAACATGTTGTATCGTTTATCTAAATCAAATCCTTTCACACAGTCAGCTAATGGTAGAAATGTAAAGGAAATGAAAGAAAATTGATAAAGAGCACAGAAATTGTGTTTAGGAGATTACCTTTCTTCTTCACTATTTCATGAGTTATATTATACTGTTTGGATTATCATGCGAAGTATTTCATAAAAAAATATCAGTAGTTTATTTCATTAATTTAGAATATCTTGTAGTAAAGAATAAAATGACATGCAGGCTTCTGTTGCGGAAAGAAATGATTTCAGCCATGGTCGCCATGGAATTTAAAAAAAAAAAAAGAGCAAAGAGTTTATTTATTTACTTATTTATTTTTATATCTACCACCACCAGCAGAAAGGTGGCTTTCTGCAACATGTAATTTAATTGAACAGAGAGAATTTCTTGTTCAATTGAACAGAATCTAAACTTCATATAAATTATATTTTCATTGAAAGATGGTAATTGTGTGCAATAAACAGCAAAAAACAACACAAATCACACAAAAAACTAAACATAATAAACATGATGCGATTTACGTGGTTTGAGCGAAGAATCGCCTATGTCCATGAGGAGAAATGATTTCACTATTGTGGAGAAACATGGTTACAATTGCACTCTTGAAAACCTTACAACAACCCTCAAATCTCAATATATAGATTTGAAACAAAAACAAAAGTGGATAATCCAATCAATAATCGGATATCCTAATTGATGCTTTCCTCATTAAAGCCAATAAAAGCTTTCTAAATTAGAGATGAATTAGATATGGAAAGATTTTCATAACAATCTCTACCTCAGTAAGTAGAAGTAAAATTTTGAATTGAATAGCCAAACAGTCACACATGATTTAATAGGTATTATCATAAATGTTATCAAATAGTTTTCCCCCCCCCCCCCCCCCCCCCCCCCCCCTCCCCAAAACTAGATGAACAATGAGTCATAAATTCGAATGTTCACCAAACTCCTACGGTATGTGAATTTATGAACTATTAGTACCGTTTTGAGCATGTCTGCTGGATTCTCCTTGACATCTATTTCAATTGAGCATATTCATCAATTAAGTCTCTAACAAAACAAAACCTTAAATCAATGTGCTTGGTACGAGAATGATAAACTGGATTGTTGCCAAGAATATCGCACTTCGGCTGTCAAAGAATACCTTCAGAGACTTTTGATCAACTCCCAAGTCATCCAGTAGGCCATGCATCCATATTGCTTCCTTCATTGCTTCCGTGACTACCATGTACTCAACCTCCATACTATACAAAGCAACAGCAGACTGAAGAATTGATCTACAACTGACTAGACCTCCTGCCAATGTGAATAAATAACCAATCGTAGACCTACGCCTATCAATATCACGATGTAATTTGACAGTGTAGCCTTCACACAGATTAATAATAGATGATTATCTCTCAAAAACTATGCCTACATCAACTGTACCCTTCAGATATATTAGAATACTCTTCACAGTCTGTCAATGACTCATTCCCGAATCATGTATTGCTTCAATCCATATAAAAATTTGTCCAATCTACAAACTAAGTCTTTCGATGCTCCATATCCAGACGGTTGTAACATATAGATCTCATATTGCAATTTCCTGTGTAAGAATATAGTTTTAAGGTGGAGCTGTTCCATAATCAGACTATAGTGTGTGCTACATGTGCTAAGAGAACACATATCGAGGGATGCTTAACCACTGGGGAGAATACCTCATCATAATCAATCCCTTCCCAATGTGCAAAGTCTTTTGCAATCAACCTAGCCTTGTACCGCACATTAGCTTCATAAGATCATTCCTTCTTTGCATACATCCATTTGCAGTCAATGGCTTTCCTTCCTAGAGAAAGCTTCACCAACCTCCAAGTAGCATTCTTTTGAAGAGACTCCATCTCTTTATCCATATCGCTTTTTCTAAAGATCATCATATAGATTGTCCACTACTTCCTTATAGTGACTATGGACTTCAGCCACCAAGGCTGAAAGCACAAATGCAATGTAATCACTCAACCAAACTGGTTTTGGGACATTCAGACACATCGTCCTCCTCATAGCAATAGATTCTGGAGCAGGAATCCCATTCTCAACATCATCTTCAACCTCTCTCCGATCACTATCAATATGTACCTCCTGATCTGCAACTAAATTAAGTGTCTGGATAGAAGTAATTGTACTCTGTCAAATAAAAGGAGTTGCATCAAATTCCAACTTCTCTAGAGCATCTTTAATCCCAATAGAACTCTCCACATACTTCGAGTCCCAAGGCTTCAACATGCTCACCTCGTCGAATGTAACATCCTTGCTAATGACAATCTTCTTCTTTCCCTAATCATAGTTTGAAGCCCTTGATTCCACGCCTGAAGCCAATAAATATTATCTTTTTTGCTTGTGGTTTCAATTTATCATTCTGAATATGATAGTCTAGACTCCCGAACACTCTTAAGTGTTCATAATCTCTAGCATGATTCCCCGACCATATTTCCTTTGGTGTTTTCTTCCCAATAGTTGCAGAAGGCAGATGATTCACCAAGTGACAAGCATAATCTATAACATTGTGGGCTCCAAAAATTTGGCCCCGGCCTCCGCCCACGCTTTGGTTTTTCTTTTCGGGGGAGTTTTAACAAATTAAGTTCCAGGGTAAATTTTGGAAGGCAGATGGGTTTGTAGATAAGACACTACCCAGAGACTTCGCCCTCATTTTTGCGAGGTCTTTATGATATGAGTTCTGATTTCCTATAGGCTTAAGCCCCTATAGTTAATTACCCCTCCTGATAACGAGAGAGAACTTTCGATTGAGAACTTTCAATTAAGTCTAGTCGTTAATCAGATACACAGGAATACATGTTATATGTCATATAGTAGCAGCATGGGCATGAGTATTGGAAGTTTGAAGGGTTAGAAGATTTGATATTTAAAATAGAAATTTCACCATCTTGCATTTAAAACAGATGGTGGGGGAATGGATGATGGACCCGATCAAGATCACATGGTGTCGTCGTCCCGGGTCATCATGGTCCCTGGTCTACTTAGTTAGAGGAGGTAGTCGACCCAACCTGTCAGAAGGATCCTTGCCGGCAGCCATGGGTTGCTTCGTCGAAGAGGACCTTGTAGACCTGGGGTGAATTTTTGTCTAAGGGGGCAAATTTGAATCCACCTTAGTTAACTGTTGCGGAGGGTAGATGAATTTTGCTTTAAGTGCTTGAATGGATGAATTTTGATTTTAAATATCTTGAATCTTGGGATTTTGATGATTTTTGGATTTCAGAACTTGTGAAGTTTTGAATTTTGATGGGTATTTTCAAATATTTGAAATTATTCCCTCCGATTGAGATCTACATTCAAAACGATCATCATCGGGGTGTTTGGGATTTTTTCCATTTGTTGATTGAACCTTGTCGACTCGGTCAAGCTGACCAATGATCGGGTTTCTCGTAGGCTTTATAGTTTTGTGAATGAATTTTTATTGTTATAGGCCTTGAAGGCCTAATATGAATATATTAAAGCAAATATACTGGTCCCCATAATTGCATATTTGTTCGATGATTTGAACCTTGTCGACTCCTACTTATCTACTTAGGAGGATCGTGTTTCATAGGCTTTATACCTTTGTTAGTAAATTTTCTTGATTATAGGCCTTGAAGACCTAATATAAATATATTAAGAAAAATATGTCGGTCCCCATCACCGCATATTTGTTCAATGATTCAAACCCTGTCGACTCCTATTTATCTGCTTAGAAGGATCGCGTTTCATAGGCTTTATGCCTTTATTAGTGAATTCTCTTGACTATAGGCCTTGAAGGCCTAATATGAATGTATTAAAATAAATATACCAGTCGTCACAGCAGTATATTTATTTGATAGTTCGAACCATGTCGGCACCTATTGATCCATATAGAATGATTAGTTTCAAACTTGAACTCATTTATTAACCCGCGCAGCATCCCTAGGCGTCATGTGTGTACCAACAACTCGCTCGTTGGGGCCCATGCGGGTTGTTATTGTACACCCCCCTTTTTGTGTACCTATGTGTATTCAAATTATTGTGCATGTGCGGGTGTACTTTGAAACATTTATAAACGCCTTCTGTCCGCTTGCATTAATGTCGCGGATTTGACGGCGTGTTGTAGCAGCTTCTGGACCGAGTTGTTCGCTGCTTTATACAGGTAGACTGTCGTGCACTACTTATTGCTTTCTATAAGTGGATCATAGTACACCAACGAATCTCCTGCCTTACATTTGTAGATACTTGTAGATGGTGTGTTAGGTGCACGACTATATTTCATCAGGAAACTTGCAAGCCTCAATAATCTTACCAACTCAATGCCCAGAACCTGGTTGGATTGAGATTCATTCATTCATAATGATTTGATCTGTCTTTCTCTTCCCAGAACTCGTATGGGAATTTGTAGGCAACGACCAATACCTTGTACTTCAAAGTTAATGGCCACTATCTTGAACTAACAATCATGTCAATTAAAGATACTTCAAACCATTTAAGATAGTCGTGGGAGATACCCATTCCTTTGACAACACATTTGTCAAATATTAGTCATTAGCTTCAGTGGGCATGATGTAGTGTGTGCCGACATCTACTTGAATGCATCTAGATACATCACGTGGTTACTTCCACTGCATTTTGAATCCCTTTGGCTGCGATTGACATGCTGAATGTGGATCTTCTAGTGCTGCTCGTAGGGATTCGTATTTGGTGTAATTGTGTTGCGTTTTGCTCATGGACGGTAAATTAGATGCATAGAGGCCTTCCACAGTGGATTTTGGGTACTCGCATTTATTGTGTATTGCCCTCCCCTACTTACAATAGATCCGCACATTTAACTACCACTGCATGGTCGTTAATTATAAGGATGTTATAATATCCTGATGCATCACATGCATTAATTATATACATCCTTCATATCTTGCTTATGGATGTCAGTGATTGATTCATAGGAGTTCATAGGCTTTGTAGGTTAATCCTTGCTTGTAGGCAGCATGCGCATGATGTACCAACCGATCGGTCTGTTAGGAATCTATATTCGTCATTGACTTTCTTCCATACATTGATCATGAGAACACCTTTGTAAGCACTACCTACTAATCATCATGATATGCAAAGATCCGGGAATTTATAT